CCCGCCAGTCTGCGCGCTCAGATCTCTGCTCTGACTGTGCGAGTGCTGGGGGTTGGACCCTGTCCAGCTACAGGCCACCAACCCACGTGGCCTTGCCATGGCTTTGGGCCATAGCTGACTCCAGGCCGGCCTTCCAGGGGAAGGTCTGTGCTGCCCACTGCCAGAAGTCACAGTGGGCCCATGGGGTTACGCCGACGCCAGCTGAGGTGCCCTGGTGCCAAACCAGGCCTGGGGTGCCCAGCAAGAGCCGTTCCACTGGGAAGAGACGGGATCACAACACACGCTCCCAAGCACGTGTGTGTCTCTGCCCACTGGGTGGGGCAGCAAAGCTAGTACCTGCCCCTGGCCGTGCACAGTTGGGGGGCAGGGCAAGTCCTGTCCTGGACATCCTAGAGTAGAGAGCGAACCCTGCCTGGAGGATCTGAGCATGACCACTGCGGGAGGGTGACCCAGGGACAAGCAGTTTGTTGCTTTCACTTTCTGGTGACACAAAGCTGTAGATAAGGCCTCCTCAATCACAGCGGAAGTGGGAACCCACCAGGAGGGGGAGGGGGGACACTTCTGCCCCCCTCCCATCTGTCTGAACCCTGAGTCTCTGTCATGCATTTGGCTGACTCGGCACCATGAGAAAACGATCCACAGTCTGAATTAAAGAGACAGCACCAAGTGAAACACCCAGTATTTGAGTAAGGGCACGTCCTTCCCTTTGCTAACACCACCAGAGAGATCAAAACACTCGGCTGACCCCCAGAGCCACAACTGCCCCCTCCCCCCGCCCTGCTTTCTCTATTTCCTGCATTTCATTCCACTGGGACAACAGATCCCTGGATTTCCTCCATACTCCTAGATCAGTTTCACTTTCAAGTTCTCTACCTTGGCAGGCCCTGGATGTTTGGGATGCAAACACGTGGGGATAGGGTAGCTCCAGATACAGATAAAACCCCAACCAGAGACTGTGTGCAAATATAGCACTTCTGTCAATATTAGCGGTTGGGAAGCTTTTCAGACCCACACTCTCAGGCTGCCCAGCATCACTAAGGAGTCTCTACGGCCGAGTATGCAATAAACAAGCCTGTTTTGCAAAGCATTTCTACTGTTTCGCACTGCACGGAATTGGCCTTGTCCCAATATGTGTCTCTCCCTTCCCCGCAGCGCAAACGTCCCTGCTGCGGGGCAGTGCGCTAGGAGCTCACCCCTGCCGGTGGCCCAGAGCACAGAAGTTGGGGATGGACCGACTCACTAGCTCATCTCCACAGGGCCCAGCCAGGGTTGGTTCCTGCATCATATTCGCAAATGTTTGGTCTAGCCGAGTTGAATGGATTCCCGCACTTCCCGTGGGGAGGACAGGCCTGCACGGCTAAGCTCAGCTCCCTGACCCCACTCCACTACGGCCGCCAGAGGTGCCTTTGGATTTGCACTGGTTTAACTGAGCCCAGTGGTGGAGAGATTCCCGTGATGGTCGCCCTGAATTTCCTCTCTCACTTTCCCGCAGTTGCAGCCCCTGTGAGCTCCTCTGTCTGTCCACTAAAGCCGCACACCTACTGCGCTAGCCCTCCAGCCCAGCCCAACACATCAGCCAAGCAAGCAGAACCCAGCCTGGGCTGGCTTACCCTTTTTGAACTCCTCCAGCATAGCATCCAGCTTGGTGTCATGGAAGACAAAATGGACCGGGTGGTTGTAGAACTTGGTGATGGTCTTCAGGGGGGTACAATCGTCAGGGTCCACAAAGGCCAGGTCCTTGACATAGAGGATGTCCACGATGTTGGAGTGCTCCTCCTCGTAGACGGGGATGCGGGTGTAGCCGCTCTCCATGATCTCCGACATGGTGTTGAAGTCCAGGATGGCGTCGCTGTGGATCATGAAGCAATCGTGGAGCGGCGTCATGATATCCTCCACCGTCTTAGTCCGGAGCTCTAGCGCTCCCTGGATCATGTTGAGTTCCTCCTTCACCAGGTCATTGTAGGGCTCCGTCACCTTCAGCATCTCCACCAGCTTCTCGCGGTTGTAGACGGTGCCAATCTCCTGGCCCAAGATGCAGTCCAGGAGCTTGCTGACGGGGAAGGAGAGGGGGAAGGTCACGAGCATGAAGAACTTGGTGATGACGATGGTGTTGGCGCCCACGGCCAGGCCGTGCCGGGAGCAGAGCGCCTGCGGGACGATCTCGCCGAAGATGACGATGCCGATGGTGGAGGCGACCACGGCGCCGATGCCGGAGCCGATGAGGTCGTCCAGCAGGATGGTGAGGGTGGTGTTCACCAGCACGTTGCCCAGCAGCAGCGAGCAGAGCAGGTAGTTGCCCTTGCGGCGGATGGGCTCGATCTTGCGGGCGTAGCGCTTCTCCTTGTCGGTGCCGCAGTTCTGCACGATGCGCAGCTCCATGGGGTCCAGCGCCATGAGGCCCAGGTTGAGGCCGCTGAACATGCCAGAGAGCACCAGCAGGCAGATGATGAGGATGACCTGGAACCAGAGGGGCAGCAGCGACTTCTTCTCCTCCAGCACCATGAGGCGGCCGTCCTGGCCCTCGTGCTGCAGCCAGGGCTGGCCGGGGCCGCTCTGGGTGCAGAGCACGTACAGCTTGGTCTGCTCGTGCTTGCGCAGGGGCTGCACCTGCACGTGCAGCACGCCCGAGGTGTTGCGGGCGTCGTGCATGCGGGGCTGCACCACCAGGTCCTGGCTGTGCTCGGGGCAGGTGCCGTTGGCGCTGGCGTTGGCGCCCAGCTCGGCGAAGGCCACCCACTCGCCCGTGCGGGGCTGGATGCCCCGCCCGAAAAGC